GCACGATAGGCGGAGCGATCCCCCGTGCATCCATTGCTGCAATAAAGAACGCCGGCTTCTTCACACTGCATTGGTGTTAAGAAGTTCATTCCTGATTTCAGTGACACAGTTAAAAACCTCAGAAAAAAAAAACCAAATTAACAACAAATTTCATTTTTTGTACTTGTAAAATTTTTCTACACCTTCTTTTGCAGTCAGCCTGCATCTTTGGTTTTGTAGCCCCTGGGAGCTTTGCAATTAAGAGCAATGGATAAATGATCAAGCCCTGAAACATTTTCAGCACTTCAGCTGAAGCCTTATCACAATAAATGCAAGAGATCATCTGCACAAAAGCCTGACTTGGCAGCAAGAGAAGTTGGAGAGGGAATGGTAGATTACTCTCTCCAAAACAGACAGCTGACTACGGTCACAAGATACTACATTGAAGTTCACCTACACTGCCTGTGAGGTTATTGAGTTTGTACTTATTTAACCACCCTTAATAAGACACAGTTCAGTTTTCAAAAGTTCCCATTAAAGGTATTTCAGTTTGGGTTTGGGTTTTTGGTTGTTTTTTTTTTTTTATAAATATATCATGCTTCCAAAATTGCAGAGCTTTTTTTGAAATTTTTATCATCTTCATGAAATTTCAAAGACAAAAAGTGGAGAAAAAAGTTTCATAAATATCGTAGTTTGTTTTAGCAGCTCTAAAAATGCTTCAGTGTTCTCAAATGTCAGTTTTGAATATGTTGTCAATGGTTATGAGGTTTGTTCTAATGAACATCAGGATTGAACCACTTGTAGTAATTTCTGGGTGGCCAGAGAAGCACAAAGGAGCAGAGAAGATATCAGGCAATGTTAGTGTTGGATGGATATTTTATTGATTTTTTTTTTTAAAAGAGGGTTCTGTATAATATTTACAATGATGTAAACCTTGTACTTCTATGATCCTCTTGGATCCTTCCAAAAATTTGAAGGTAAAATTTGACCAGCTCAAATTTCTTGCTTAGCTACCCAAAAAGAAGTCTGAAAGAAAATTTACACTCTTTTTTTTTTTTTTTTTTTTCTGCTCAGCTCATCAGAACTCTAATAGAACACCCTCTGTGGTCAGTATCTAGCTACTTTATGTCAGTCAAGCAGGGAGTGATACAACTCTTACATCTTAACCACATACAACAGAATTTCACTAGAGGAGAACTCTCAGTGATGACATAATTTATGGTGGCATGGATCTGAATGGATTTTTCATCAAATTCCATGGGTAGGGCAAATTCTTTTTGCTGAAAGATAACAAGTTAAACTCAATTGATATTAATTGCTTATTTCTGTCACTCTGGCAAGTAGATCCTTCCCTGCAGGGGGAGTCAGACAGGAAATGCAAAGTGTCATTCCTTTGAACCAAGGAGAAAACTTTAAGAGAAAGAAGAAAGTTTTAAGAAAACTTTCCTCTGAAGTTTCCTTAAAGCAGTAGAAGGCAGGACACATATAATGAATAAGCCAGGAAATGCCATCCATATCCATCCAGGAATTAACTATTGAACCTGGGAGACCACTGGCAATTACTTCATTTTCAAAAGTTACACACAAATCAGCAGACATCCAAAGAACAGGGAGGAAAAGGAATAATCACCAGAGGGAGCTGGGCAATTTCTGTCCTGGAAGGTGGTATCACTGCGAGAAGAACAGCTCCCTCACCATCACTATTTGTATAGCAATGGGACTGACAGGTTGATAAAGGAGACACTGTATAAACACACACTATCAGTCCTTATCTCATGAAGCAAACATAGTCTGCAAAGTCAAGGCAGACAAAGGCATTATTATTTTATAGTTAAGGAACAGAGATAGAGAAGGATTTATTGACCTATTTAAGATCATTCAGGAAGTCAGTGCAGGGACAAAATAAAATCATGCTGCCTGAATGCCTGAGCAGCACCTCTATCATAAGCCATTTTCTTTAAATAATCGGCAGTGGTTGCTCTCATCCACTCGAACAGAACATTGGTGTTCCTGCATGCCTGCCATATGATCTGAATACTCTCTGCATTTTTGCTCTGCCCATATGAACTCTTGATCAAGCTAAGCTAACCAGAAATTTGTTAAATGGAGTTTTCCTTCCAGATGCTCTGCTAAAAATGTCAGTTGCCTTTTTTTCTTTTTTTTTTCTCTCTCACCTTTTCTTTATCCTCTCAGTAGCTCTATCAAGAGAGTTTTACATGTTTTCCATCAAGTCATTCTTGTACTGCATGTGAACATTTTGTTTGCTGTTTCTCCCTGCAAAGTCAATACTGCAAAATTCTCGTTACCATCATAATGTTTACTCTTTAATTCATGCAACTACAGATCAGCTTCATCATAGCCTTGTTGTTCCCTATGATGCCTTCCAGAATCCCTATTCTCATGCTATTCCCCCATTCCCAGAGTATCATACTGCAATTACTAGTCTTCTCAAATGACAATGTCACTGAAATTAGGAATGAACTTCTTAACACCAATGCACTGTGAAGAAGCCGGCGTTCTTTATTGTGGCACCGGATGCACAGAGGATCATTTGACCTATTGCGCATACCAACTCATCTCTCTACAAAAGCTTTATACTATCAAAACATACATATTCTTTACTTTTCCAAGAAATTATTAACATATTCATTACATTTCCAGGAACCCACTAATATATGTAAATATCCTTTTCACATGTGCACTGGAGTCTCTTGTTGGTCTTCCAGGGTCCTCTGGTGGTCATTGAAACTTTTCTCACTGTGCACTTTAGTTGAACTTTTTGTGTACACTTAGTTCATCTCTTGGCCTGCTTGCAACGCTCCTGTCTCCAAAAAACAGGTTTATTCTGGCATCACTCCCTTATCTACCCTATTGCTAGGACTCGGCGCCTCAAATCTGCTACAGACTTGACTGGTCCCAGCTGATGTGTAACTATTGTTCAATGTCACATTGTTTAAGCAGAAGGGGATGTTCTCTCAGAATGGTATCAACAAGGAACTGAAGGGACTCCCCCAGGCTGCCATTCTTCCTTTTAATAATGAACTATGCTGCCTGCCCTGCAAAGAAGTTATGTGATAAGTGCATTGTAATGGGGGCCCTTGGGTTTCTGACCGAATTTGTAGTACGCTGACTTGTAAGATGTGGGATTGAAGCCAAGCAAAAGTTAATACAGCTGGCTTGGATGCCCTCTCAAAGTACACATTCCCCTCCAACTATAGAAAAAATAGGTAAAAACGATCCCATCCTGTGAGACCTTGAAACAGTCCATAAAGACTGTTGGATTTCAGGGTCAACAGGCTAACCTGGTTCTTTGTCTACATGAGAACAGATTTAGGGTTGTTTTCACCAAATATGGTGGTACCTATTTGTATGTAGTCCTGTGTATTTTGGATCATTTGTGAGTAATTCATGGGATTATTCACAAAATAAGTAACTCAACTGCATTCACTAATAGAGACAGTGGTATGTGGTTTAATAGGAATTATATGACTATTTAGCAAGAATTAATGTTTCATTAAAATTCCTGGTTATTATTAGCTCAGTATGCAAATTGCTATAATTTAATTATATCTACACTGCTTTTCAATGAATCCATTGTCATTAATCATTCCCTTCCTCAGCTACCTCAGGCAGCACATTCAAACATTCAAATGAGTCATTCAGATCCATTCATTTGATTATAACCATCTTTAATTTGACAACTCTCTTTGTTTTACCTATGCAAAACATTTTATTTTCTTGCATGACATGTTGGAATTAATGGCCAGGTGGGCTGTGATTTCTATATATTAGAATGATTCATCTTTGTTTCACTAATACAACTTTTTAAGAGAGCTAAATGACATGTAAGACACCTACTCTGTCCATTTAGCTTTTCTTTGTCATTTGTTTTTTCACAAAAAGATTCGGTGTTACACCCCGGAGTCCCTCCTAACCGCCAGGGTCTCAAAACTATCTGTATCTCCATCATACAAGAAAATAAAGCAGGGATGAAGGGATGAAGTTCAAGTCTGATATTGTTCTCCTATAAAAACAAAATAATGGACACAGACCTGAACATGGAGGTATGCTTGTAAAAGGCTGCATGAATAATCAAAATAAGATAAAAAGAGATCTTGCCCTAATTCTCTCAGTTATAGAGAGGTGTCTAGCAGCAATCTTTCCTGTAAACAAAGAACAACTCAGCTGCACTTCAAATTTTGAAAATATCCTTTTTGGTTAAGAGCAAGCAGAGCTGTAAATCTGTTTTCAAAGGAGAAACAAGTACACACGTGAAATCCAGCATATTGTTTAACTCAGGTAAATTCCTACCAACTCATTTAGTTTCTCAGGAAAATTGGGATGACTTATTTCCAAATAAAGGAATATTCTGGAGGCATTGGTGTTCAAACTATATTCATTGTATAGAGAGATTCAAAGGAAAAATTGATGAGCATGGTACACAGGAATATAAATTATTATCTGCTATTTGCAGTGCCTTAATGCTTAAATTATGGCCCATGCATTATGAGCGCTCTGGTAGATGCAGACTGTTAACTCTACTTATTTTATCTCCTTGATGGAAGGTTACTAAAAGTAAACATGTTTTCTATTCCTACCATAGGAGTAACAGATGGTCTCCTGTGATTTTGGCGGAGGTAGGAGGGAGAAAAGGTCCCCACATTATGTCTCTGTTAAGAGTCCATCCACAGAGAAAAGAGAGAAAAAAGAGAAGGGAGGAAAGAAAGAGGGAGGAAACAAAGAAAAAGAGAGAAGGAAGAGATAGAGAGGAGAGACAATGAGAGTGAATTCTTAAATATTTTTTGCACCAATCACTTTTTGTTTTTTCATCTAGACTGCTATAATTATCAGCACTTACATTACTGATAGCTGAACTGATGAGTGTGGTGGGGTTCCTAATCCTTAAAAATACTTCTTTGATTAAAATTAATCTGTGTTTCTATGAATTTAGACACATTCAGACTCCATTTAAAAACATTCACCTTCAAGTTTTGTAAGGGTTTCCCCTCCAGGTATAGTACCTTAGCAAGATGCTCTCCCATTCCCATAGGGACCTCACGTTCCTTTTCGTTATCAGTTTTATTACCCAACAAAAGCACAGGTATGTTCTCCCCAGTTGTCTCCTGCAGAACAAAGGAAAAAATCTCAACTGAGGCACTGTAATTAAAAAAAAAAAATCACAGATCAGGAGGATAAAAACTAATAAATGTCACATTGCAACAAGGCATTTAAGGCAACTAATGCACTAACGGCATTTTTTAATAACAGCACAGAAGCTCATCAGCCTCTATATTAAAATGGGAGAGAGGAAACTACAGGCTCTGACTTTGCATGTTTATAGCCACAGCTTTTCTAATTACATGGACAGGAAAATAATGACAACATTTGGGTACAATTATGCCAAATAAATTACATAAAGTAGTGGAGAGAGACACAGAACAGGCACAAATCAAAATTCATTCTGAAAATGGTTAGAATTATCACAATGAGTACATGCCTTAAGTAGGCTAAATGCTGCAGCAGTAGATGGACCTGACCGCGCTTAGCAACAGTTTGTAGCAAACAAAATTAGTCAGTAAAGATGAGTGAGCTATTACAGCTTGGAAAAATATTTTTACCACGGTATTTGATTTTTATGGATCAAAACCTGGAATTCTTCTCTAGCTTTTACCATACTGAATGATAACAATCACTGATTTATTCAGATCATATATTTAATAAGGGTTTGTACTTACAAAATTCATGCTACTATTACTTCAGTAGAGCTACTCAGATGAGGAATAACTACACCTGTTTGGAAATATTTCAGTGAATAAGTCCTAATTTCTACTCCCAAAGCCAACTACTGTCCATTACGGAAAAAAAGTGTATTTTACTAGAACACATGCCCAACAAGATCAGACTACATGAACTCCACATACCAATTTGTCTCCTATTTTTTCAGTAGCAATACACTGCAATAGCGAGCAAATAGGCAGTCATACTTTGCTCTTTCTAGCGACTCAGTCCTCTACAGCAGCAGCCTCAGTTTTACTTTTATTTTTTCTTTTGGCCACAAGTAAATTTCAGCTGCTTGCACTCTCAGTATGTTGTCTAAGAGCTACAGAGATATACCAAGAGAAAAAAAGGAGAATTTTGAATTGACTGAAGCCGTTCAGTGGCACGGGCTCTGATTTTGTTTTCATATGGTTGAAAGGATGATCCCCGGGAAAACAGAACTGTCTGACCACTGCTGCAGATACAATAGCTTTAAGTTTATGGCTCATTTTCACAACACAGTCAATTTCCCATGAGCTATAGACTTGGTTGTCAAACTGCTAGTGATGATCAGTGATCATCAGAGCATCATCATAGAATCATAGAATCATTTGGTTGGAAAAGACCTTTGAGATCATCGAGTCCAACCGTACCTGTCCACTACTAAACCAGATCTCTGAGCACCTCATCTACCCATCTTTTAAATCCCTCCAGGGATGGGGACTCAACCACTTCCCTAGGCAGCCCATTCCAGTGTCTGATAACCCTTTAATTGAAGAAATTTTTCCTGATATCCAATCTGAATGTCCCTTGGTGCAACTTGAGGCCATTTCCTCTTGTCCTGTCACTTGCTACTTGGGAAAAGAGACACACCCCCACCTCTCTACACTCTCCTTTCAGGGAGTTGCAGAGGGTCAGAAGGTCTTCCCTCAGCCTCCTTTTCTCCAGGCTCAACAACCCCAGTTCCCTCAGACGCTCCTCATAAGATCCAAAGCAGCTCCCAGTGCTAGCGGTAATCCAATGGGAGTCATCAACTAGGTAACTACTATAAGAAACCGAGACTGTATGCTGGGCTTTGCCCACCACTCATTTTAATTCCTTAAAACCATGGAACTCTGATTATTTTCATAGATACAGAGATTCTAAAAATAGCTTTACTGGAAACTGTGCAGACCAAAATCACTAACAAAAAATATAACTAACTGTGACAACACAAGAAACATTCTGCTCTCTGTGTCTTCCTAATATTCCCTGTCCAGAAAAAGGTAGAAAATAATGACGCTGGAGTTTAGATTTAAAGTTCTGTCATGTTACCTCGATGCTTATCAGCCACTGCTTAACAGCTGTGAATGTGTCTTTTGCTGTTATATCATACATCACAATGACACCATCAGCTTTTCTGAAAAACTGCTTGGTAATACTTCGGTACCTACAAGGAAGAACTTGGTTTTAGCTCTCTTCAACAGAAGTAGCAATCTGGCAATATAAGTACAATTTTATAGCAATCCCTGCCCACCCCTGTCCCCTGCCAAAGAAAGATGTTGCCATAGAGATTCCTTTAATCATCTAGTCTTAGTAAGGGTTAAACCCCTGTTAATTTGATCTTCATATGTAGTCTAAAAATTCCATAAACTAGACAAGGGGGAAACCGTAATACTGATCCTCACTGCAGATCCTTTTAAAAGGTGAGGCTTCTTATGAATTGTAGTAAGCAATCTCATTCTTGAATCATCTCCTTTTCACATCCAGCTGAAGATTCTTGGAGGACACTAGTACCACAAATTACTGCAACAGCAAATAAATTCTTAGTAAAAAATATTTTTTGAAAGAAAGGGTTTGGAAAAGTTCTTTAATTGATTCTGGGTTAGTCTGGATCATCAGCTGCGTACATCTCACCTTCTCCCATTCTCTGTCATTTTAAGCTTGGAGCGGAGATTTCCCCCTCACAAAGTGCTCTGCCTAAAGCTAGTTACATTTCTGTTTGAGGCTACTTTGCCAAGCTTCCTGTAGAACAGGGCAGCCTGTTCCAATGCTTGACTGCCCTTTCAGTGAAGGAGTTTTTCCTCATATTCATTCTAAACCTCCTCTGGTGCAACTTGAGGCCATTTCCTCTCGTTCTATCCCTTGTTACCTGGGATAAGAGACCGACCCCCACCTCGCTACACCCTCCTCTCAGGTAGTCGCAGTCTACAACTACCAAAAGGGAAGGTGTAGACAGGTGGGAGTTGGTCTCTTCTCCCAGGTAACAAGTGATAGAACAAGAGGAAATGGCCTCAAGTTGATCAAACATAGATCATCATTATCTTGCTTTTAGTAATAGAAAACTACACAATAGAGAAGGAGATAGGGAAGGAAATTACCACTGAAAATTTAGAAAAACGTGGGAGATCTTAAACTACTATGGGATTGTTTTGGTGAAAAAAAAACCCTTTTTAACTATTAAGGTATTTTCTGCTATAGAAATAATTCTAAGTACATTTTAAAATCAGACTTCCTCCTAAAGAAATTGTGTAGTAATAAACTTTAAAAAGCTTTAGTAAGAATCGCTTTTTTTTCAACGGACACTTAGCACCAAATCAGCATGTTATTGCTGCTAGGGAAGGGTCTAAACTGTGCATTCACTGGCTCTGTTAGGAATACTCCTATATTTGTTCCTCTCCTGAGAAGCAAGATTAGGTCCATGCTTACTAATCTTCAGATAAATGATTCAGGTAAGCAAAACCTTAGAATGTATATTGGTTTTGGCTGGGAAAGAATAAATTTCATCATAACAGTTTGTATAGAGCTATGTTTTGGATTTGTGATGAAAAGAGTGATGGTAACACATCATTTTGTTTACTGCTCAACAGTGTTTCCACAGCATCAACACCTTTTCTGCTTCTCAGACTGCTCTGCCAGTGAGCAGGCTGGGGTGCACAAGGAGTTGGGAGGGGAACACACCTGGGACAGCCATCCCCATTTCACCAAATGGATATTCCATCCCATATGACGTTGTGCTCAGCAATAAAACCATGGGGAGGGAGGTTGGCTGAGGCTGCAGTTGCTCAAGGACTCACTGGGCATTAATCTGTCGGTGGTGAGCAACTGGGGTTTTTTGCATTACTTGTTTTATTTGTTTGGGGTTTTTTTCTTTTCCTCTTTACTGTTGTTTTTGTTTTATGCGGGTAGCGGTTTTGGGTTTTGTTAATTATTAAACAATCTTTATTTCAACCAATAAGTTTTCTCACTTTCACCCTTCTGATTCCCTCTCCCATCCCACTGGATGGGGAAGTGAGCGAGCAGCTGTGTGGTGCTTAGCTGACTACCCGGTTAAACCACAAAAGAATGTTTCTCACCGTTCCTGGCCAGCAGTGTCCCAGAGTTGCAGGGCTACCTGAGTATTATCTACTGTGATGGTTTTTACATTGTAATCCACACCTGTAACAGAAATACAAGGTAGGTTGTCTCTTTATATGCTCAGTTTGACCTTTGAAAACCTGCTCCAGCCAACAGCAATAATTCCAGAAAGGCAACAAGATAGATACTACATTAAAAATTGTCCATCAGAGAACAACAAGAGCTTTTATTTGCCAGAAGTTCTTCAGTAATAAAATACTGACTGTTAACAGAGTAGTTGAATCTTGTAAATGCTGTAAGATAAGTAACTTTCCAAATCAGGGTACCTGCATTTGACAATCCACAGCAATCTAAGCATGGAATTCATGCCGTATAACTTCAGTTGTTTGAAATTGCAGCGTTTAGTCTGAGCTAGCTACATAGGCACCTTCTACAGTTAGTGGAAAAACACAAGGCATCACACTAAGGGGGACACTGGAACCTAAAATAAATGCTGAAGATATACGGACTGAATATGTGGAGAACCTCTTCCCCTCTTCAGAATACAGAAAGAGATGAGCTGACTACAGTTAGGTTAGTCCCCTAATTTTTATGTCGCTAAATGGAAGTGAGACAAAAAAATCATTTATCTATATTTTAAATTAATCCTCTTCCAAATCCCCTAAAGTGTGATGATATAAGTATCTTCCAGATATTTATAACAATAATTAGAGCCTTAATCAGTCACTGCCTCCTCCTAATGACAACCTGTATTTTCTTGTATCGCACTGTACTGTATCATAGAATCACAGAATCACAGAATAATTCAGGTTGGAAGGTGCAATAGTAAGTCATCAACAATTTATTTGGGTCCATTTTCCACATCAGTGGGATTTTTACTGCAGGTATTAATCAAGAAGCATCCAAGCCCATGTTCCTTCAATGGGCAATTAAGAAATCTGGATGGAGGATATATTCATTGCTTGTATGTCAAAAAAAGATATTTGACCTATTCTGTAGAAATTCAATGAGAACACTCTTCAGGTGTTCACTTGACTTTTCAGCTGTCTGTATCTTGCCAGCCACAGTCCACACCTGTGAAACTCATTGATGTGAAAACTAAATCAAAGCTATGACAAATACTTTCTTGCATCACTTTTGCAAGAACACTGGATGACCAGCCAAAAGACGAAAAGGTAGACATATTCCTGTGCTTTTCCTCTGAAAGCTCCAGGCAATTGCATACACTGTGTAAGACCTCAGAGTCTAGAGAAGTGTATCAACCTTCTCTAGAAGGTTGACACACTTCCACTTCTAGGTGGAAGTGGTGATTTGCTTGAAGGTAGGAAGGTTTTACAGAGGGATCTGGACAGGTTGGATCACTTGGTTGCAACCAACTGTATGAGGTTCAATGAGGCCAAGTGTCAGGTCCTGCGCTTGGGTCACAACAACCCCATGCAATGATACAGGCTTGAGGAGGAGTGGCTGGACAGCTGCCTGGCGGAAAAGCACCTGGGGGTGTTGGTCAACAGCTGGCTGAATATGAGTTAGCAGAGAGCCCAGGTGGCCAAGAAGACCAACAGCATCCTGACTTGTATCAGAAACACCGTGGCCAGCAGGACCAGGGAAGTCATCCTTCCCCTGTACTCAGCTTTGGTGAGGCCGCACCTCAAGTGCTGGGTTCAGTTTTGGGCCCCTCACTCCAAGAAGGACATTGAAGCACTGGAGCGTGTCCAAAGGAGGGCAATTAAGCTGATGAAGGGGCTGCAGAACAAGTCTTATGAGGAGTGGCTGAGGGAACTGGGGTTGTTGAGCCTGGAGAAGAGGAGGCTGAGGGGAGACCTTCTGGCTCTCTACAACTACCTGAAAGGAGGGTCTAGTGAGGTGGGTGTGTGTCTCTTCTCCCAAGTAACTAGTGATAGAACAAGAGGAACTGGCCTCAAGTTGTGCCATAGGAGGTTCAGATTGGGTATGGGGAAAAAAATTTTCACTGAAAGGGTTCTCAGGCACTGCAACAGGCTGCCTAAGGAAGTGGTTGAGTCACCATCCCTGGAGGTACTTAAAAGATGGGTAGACCAGGTGCTCAGAGATATGGTTTAGTAGTGGACAGGTACGGTTGGACTCAATTATCTTAAAGGTCTTTTCCAACCAAATGATTCTATGATTCTTTACATGACAACATGGATAAGACATAGCACCACTCTTAAATGTAGACAGTTGCATATAGGCTCCCATTACAGCTAATGAAGATCTAGTCAATGAAGAACTAGGAGTCTAAGAAAGTACTAAATTCACCTTGATGTAGGCATCAAGGATTAATTGGTCCCTCGGCTCCTCTAACTGCATTGATTTGGAGAGGATGGCAGGGTAGAATGCAGCTCTCTGCTCACAGGCACTTAGTGCTATCTGAGATGCCATTCAGTATTCAAAATGTGTTTCAATCTGGCAGGACACCCAGGAGACCTGCTCTCTTCCAAAGCAGCAGCTGATGGTCACGTGAAATAATTATATTGCCAAAATTAATTTAAATCCCTATTCCCTATGCTAAGATCTTATATCTTCCTTGACTCTAATGTGAACTTAGACACTCAACATAACAGATCAGTAGAAATTTAAACTCAGATGTCTCTATCTACCCCATAAGTCAAGGGAGCTACAGCAACTGCTCACCTGAATGTTCGTAGGTTGTCATAAATGCAAGAGAAATCCATTAATTTAAGTACCTTTTAATGTGAACAAGTTTTATTTCATATATGCAGAATAAATAAGGCCTAAATGCAGACCAAGTATAACGAATCTGTTCATTTACTGTAACTCAGCTGCATTGCAATAACCTATATTTACAGGTTTTGTACCTTGATTATATGTCTGACTTCTGAAACTTTGCTTTAGCACTTCAGGCAATATAAGTACAACATAGGCCTTGAAATGTTTGGCTTTGAAAACACTGATCCAACACATTTCTTTGGTGCTTAGTATAATGCTAAATCATCAAACATAATTCAGATAGTCTACTTTCTCTTTAAAACAATTCTAGTTATATGATTTAGATATCATATCCAAATTCTAGCTTCACTGAAATCAATAGGATTTTTCTGATTTATTTCAGTGCTCCCAGGATTTCAGTATGGAATCTACTCTGAAACCTTTTCATCAATTATCTTCTTCCTAGTTTAGAACTCACTTTGCATGTCCTACTCCCTTTTGGGATAATGGCTTTTGCAACATCTGTATGTTTCTGTTTTACAACACAGGTTCTGATCTCAGTAGAAGCTGCTAAGTACTGTTGGATGAAAAATAATAATAGTTATAATGTTTCTTAAACTTACCTACGGTAGCAGCTGTGCCTGGGAAAAAACGATCTTCACAAAATCGCCTTAAGAATGATGTTTTTCCAACACTCGAATTGCCCACAAAAATAATCTTGAATAAGCGGTCTGGGACAGAGTTTATTCTCTCCTCCTTCAAGTAAGAGCAAACATTAGTCTCCAACTGTTCTAGAAATCCTGTCGCCCCTCCAATTTGTCTTGTCTTGAAGCTAACTGAGATGGGAAAGAGATTTCATCCTATCATGTTCTCCACTACTCATAAAGCAATATTCTGTTTCTTAAAATAACTCAGCATTCCAGATGTCTGATTCTAGATCATTTCATGTGTATGATTTGGGTTGAGCTGAATATGGACCTTGACATGAGACTGCATTAAAAAATGCATGAAATTGCCAAAAGAAGACAGTTTATATTGATCCCTGTAAATCAAAACCCATAAAGTTTCACACAGCTTTGCTCAGTACTTTCATCCTATACCAATGACACAGAGGAAACAGCACATCTTCACCTAGACAACAGAAGCAAAGTCAGAATTCTTTGGCTTATGCCATCTATCACTAAATTCTTCTCTCTGCCACTATGAAATTATTACTGGAGGTGAATTAGAGATCTATCTATACCTACATCTCAAGAGAAGGTACAGCGTGAAGGAAACTTTCAGGGTGGAGTGCAGTTGGTGCGCAAGAAATCCATTCCATGGTGGTTCCCTGGATACAGCCTGTGACCACAGAGTCACTGACTCCAAGAGAAACAACAGGGAGTGTTGAGTGGAGACTCCACAGCCAGGCTCTGTGCAGAGCAAAGGGGAATTTGATGGTGCTGTGGAACTCACGAGCTGCATGGTTGCTACCCTGAGCCAGCAGTTTCCCATCATTTTGCCAAAACTGTGTCCTCAGTGGAACTTGGCTCATCATAATGTCATTAAAATGCTAAACTATACCTCCAGCCCAAAAGCTACCTGCCTCTAAGGTGCGACCACCCCTCACTGAGCATGCGCTCTAAATTTCCTCTGGTCTAGACCTTTAAAAGCAAAACAAGAAAATTTTACACCAGTTATAATAAAAGTGTGTATGATTAGAGTGACTCAAGTTCCACCTGAAAGTAAGAAAATAGCACAAAAATGGCCTAAGAGAGGGGGGATGTTACGGAAGATTCTATCGCAGACAAGTCAGGAGGATCCCATCATGAACCATCACCAACTTCTGGGACCAGTTGACGGGCTGAGCCTCTCTTCCCCCTCATAGGGGATGCCTATTGGTTGAGACTTGAACCTTCCCAGGGAAACTTAGAAATTCTCTACAGAGTTGTTTTTTCTTTTTCTTAACTTAACATGTTTGTACATATGTGTTCTTCAGTACCTGCACTCATCTTTATAGAGAGTGCATTTATCACCAGCAATCCAACAGAACCTGTACTCTGTTGCCTCAATAAACTGCCCATTCATTAATCCAGGCATGATAGTCCACATTGAACATGACCAAGCATGGCTGTGTAAGTTCATTTAAACATGACTAGACTGGAGGTGCATCGTACTACTAATGAATCCAGCTGTGAGAGTTCTCAGAGAATGTGACTGAGTGGCCATGCTGATTCATTCAAACATGACTGGACTGTCGTGATACACTGTTAGTGCATCTGGAGCTGTGAGAGTTCAATATATTGTATGTGACCAGACTGATAGTGCTGAATTGGGCATCACTCAGAATCTCAGCCCAGCTGCCCCCAGCCCCTCTGATATCTGAGCATAAGCTGGAACACAAGGGGGTTTATTTTCTGCCAAATGTCTCTGCCTTTTAACGCAACAGCCAGTACTGTGGAGCCAAGAGCTTCCATGAAATTACAGAATCACAGAATTGTAGTGGTTGGAAAAGACCTTTAAGATGATCAAGTCCAACCATAAACTCAACACTGCCAATTCCCCCTCTAAACCATGTCCCACAGCACCTCGTCTGCCCATCTGTTAAATCCCACCAGGGAAGGTGACTCCACCACCTCCCTGGGAAGCCTGTTCCAATGCTTCGTTACCATTTCGGAGAAGTTTTTCCTCAGATCCAATCTAGGAAAAAAGTGAATTACTGTGCTTCCACATATGTTCAACATTACAGGCAGAAGCACATCAGAAAGAGACAAACTGAGAGAGAATTAGACCCAGTTAGTCAGGCTGTAAACATTCAGCGATGTTTCTGTCATTTAGTTTTTTAATCAGAAGGAAGAACAATCCGTCCTGCCTATCCACATCCTGTTTACTGCATGCTAAGCTAAGCGCGTACTGGAGAAAATATTTATATCCTCTGTCATGTCGGTCATTATTCCCAAGACCTTTGTACGTAGGTCAGGAGTTGCTTTGGGAAGAACACTGCAGCAGCAGCTGGTTTGCAGGGGCTGTCCTAGCTGACCTCTTCTATTTTTTGCAAAGCTGTGAGAGCAGGAGGAAAACAGCAAATTTGTTCTTAATGCTGCAGAAGAGGAGCAAGTGAGGAGGGAGAGTAGAGAAGGGAGAGGGGAGGGAGGCAAAGGCCTTCTGCCAGGCATTTGAGGTACAGAATCCATGAGACTGCTTGACTTCAAGACATCAGAAGTGAACTCACTGCCCGACAGCCCTTGGAAAAGTCTGGCCTTGCAAATGTTTTCTACAAATATCCTGAAGCCTTACAGAAAGAAGCAGAAGCAATACAGGGCTGCATTTGATGGGGAAAAAATAAATAAAACCTTGATTTTTTGTCTTCCTTGGTATGAAAAAAAGTAATTCACTGCTGTAAATTTTGGGAACAAAAATACATGTGTCTCTCATGAGCTGGGGTAATAGCTCATTACAACTATATTGAGATTTTTTATCTCATTGTTCACTTCTCCTATGAAAATCCCAAACTCCACTGCAACTGTAGGCTGCTAGTAATACACATACAACCATATAAAGCACATTTCAGTTCTGCTGAAAAACATTCCCAGCTTATTAGTCTGCGTGCTCTGGGAAATAAAACAAGTTAACATACACCCAGAGGGGGTGTGGAGTCTCCATCTCTGGAGATATTCAAAGCCCACCTAGATGTGATCCTGTGCAAACTACTCTAGATGAACTTGCTTTGGCAGTGGGGTTGGACAAAATGATCTCCAGAGGTCCCCACCATTCTGGGATTCTGGGACTCTGTGATACTCGCTTATAAGATACGGTAGGTCATAAAGGATTAGCAGCTAAATGACTGAGAATATATGGTGAATAGGAAGGCTTAAAGCCAGCAGCTAGGAGTCTGAGTTCCATATAGTAAGCAACGAGATCATGGAATGCAGTAATACACAGCCATGTAGACTAAAGGAACACAAATAGGGATGAACTGAAAAAATTGTCTCAGATCATTCATCTTCCTAGTGCAAAACAGCAAATGACAAGACTTCATATTTGACTGAGCTTAACAACTGCGTGGAATCATTCTGCCTCCTTTGCACAAGTACTTCTTGATCCTACACTCCTTTATGCTGCAGATCCTTTGAGCAGGAAGACATGAGGGGAGGGAAAGACTGGCTGCAGAAGAAAGCCTAGTTGACATATGGCCCTGAGACTCACACCTCATAACTCATGATAAGCATGGAGCAATCTTTTTCTGAAGTTTCCTTCAGTGCCAGTTGAGGATTATAAGCAGAGCTGCCCTGAAAACACTTACTAATTGAATATCAATCCTCCTAGCCCAGGCATGCTGTCAGGAGAGGAAACCAGTGTGCAAGCACCAAATGAAACACGATCACTTCTGATGTCTAAATCTCATAGTCAAAAAGTGGTGATCGCAAGAGCCATCAACTAGGAAACGCAAAGTTGTGTGAGAAATTAATCAGACTACAGATGGTACATGGAAGGGGACAAAGCAATACTCACACAAAGTGGCAGTGTCCAGACACTTACACAGCCCAGAGAGTGCCCCAAGCAATGGAATGCCATCAATTGAATAGTTGTTGGCAAGTCTAGTCAGCAGCTCAAGAGGACCATGCAGGACCACGCATGTAGCTTAGTGCTACATGGACAGAGTTTATCAGAAAAGAGTATTCTGCTGTGGGTTTCTTAAAAAAACCAAGCAAAAAACCAACTCAAACGAAGGGCTGGGCTGGGTTGGGCTAAAGCACTGACATGTCATAGAAGAAAAAGAACTGAATTCCCAGTTCTTAAGTGACCTTTGGAAACTAACTTCTTGTTTGCCCTCACAATGTTTCTTTAGAAACTGCAACCAAATGTTTTTAACAATCAGGTAGGAGACATCTTATGATTTCTTCTCTCTCCTCCCTGCTTGCACTCAATTTTCTTGGGGA